TTACGATTTTCAAAAAAAAAAGTCAGGAATTGGATTTTTTAAAATACCCAAGAATACTGCTCGTCAAAATAAGTGGGCAAAAATTATTTCTCAATTTAGAAGAAAAGGTGGTAATGATAATTTCGTTATTAAGGACACGACTCTAGTATGCGAGCTTCATTTTAAAAATAAAGACATTCAATTTTTATCCAATATTGGCAGAAAAACTTTAAAAAAAGAAGCATTTCCACCTATTTTTGAATTTAAAAAACAAGCTGATGTACAAAAACGATGTTCGCCTAGAAAAAGAAAATTTATCAAAAACTTTGATATTGAAAACGTTTCTAGAAATGAAGACAATAATTTTAAAAATAATGATAAAGAACTATTAGTTGATTTTGAAATTGAGAAAGGTTGCATATTTTGTGTTTAACTACAAAACAAAATTGATCTACTGGAAAAAGAAAAACACGAGTTGAAATCTCAAATAAGCATTTTAGAATCTAAAAATAAAAAAATAAAAAATCAACTGAATCAATATAAAAATAAATACTAAGTTATGAAAATGATTTATAAGTTATTATAAGTTATGTCAACAGACAAAGAACTGTTCCAAAAATATACTGGCATAGAACATGAACAGTATATAAATTTGTACAACTTTTTAAATCCAGGAAAAAATGGTGAAAATATTAAATACCACAACTCAGCATTATCTGAAAATATGCACAGTTTAGGTAATCAGGCAAAACATGGCTTACTATAATTACACGGCCGGATATCTTGCTTCTCGGAGCGAAAAATTAGAAGGGTAACTTTTAGACTTTCTTAAGCGTCTTTTAAAATTGTTTATTTAAATATTCATAATGTAGTTTATTGTAAAGCTGGATATAAAAAGAGAGAGAATCAAATTGATGTCATTCCTGAAAAGCATCCACTTTTTGGATTTCAGGGAAATAATCCTGACATTTAAACAGTGGGTAGCATTTGTCAATCGAAAGTTATGGAAGCCCAGTTAAGAATTTGGCTATTTGTGCCAATTTTTAAATATTTTTCTACAAACATTTTGAAGAAAAATATTTAAAAATTGGCAAAAGACTAACATTAGTTTGGGATTTAAATCCCGTTCCAACTATTTATTGCTTAACTGAAAAATTACCACCATCAGTATATCAATTTACTGAATTCTAAACGTATATTCCCTGCTTTTCATTTTTATCAGTTTCATGATGTTATTGATGTACATGCTGGTGAAATATCGTGGAAGTTACTTCATGATGTATATGATAAAGACCAATTACTTCAGTCAAATTTAAAAAAAGGTTTCAAATTATTTTATAAATCACTTCATCCAGGAGATAATAAACAAAGTGTACCACTTGCACTTGCAATATTCGATCCTTCAACTTCTGCGTCTATTGAAAGTTATTTTCCAGATAGGACTGATGCCTCAGACTTTTTAAAGTTGATAAATATATGGTGGACTATAAGTAACAGAAAGCAAATATATAACAATAATTTTTGTATTGGAAATGCAGCTGTTATGGGTGACATGAAACCTTTATTTTTGAGGAAACTAGCCAAATGGATTGAGAATTAGGAGTTATCTCAATTTTCAAACTCTCAAAAGTTTATATTAAGTAAATAAACATCAGAAGCGTGAAGGACCACTTTAAGATGCACAGCTTCACTTATTGATGATTTAATTCAAGAAGGGTATCATTATTTTTTAGTATCACACTTGTTATAGAACTAAGATTTTCAAAGTATTGTCAAATGAGTGGTGGCAGATTTTTAATTGGTTTGCGTGAGCTTGAGACATCTGAGTGCATATTAGCTTTAAAAACTTTACTTAAAGAGTCAGTCAATATCTGGGAGGAAGATGTTAGAAAAGAGAGTTGTAATATATCTTTACTTAAAATATTTAATGATAAACTGCAAGAAATTTTACCAGATAAGAATGCAGTTTAGATTCAGAGAGCTTTGAAGTTGCTACAGTTATTTCTGGTTATGTTGTTAAAAAGTTTAATAAAAAGATCAAATGTGGTATTTGCAAAACTTTTCTATTAGCTGAATCTGGTGAGCTACAATGTCAATATTTAGAAAAACTTTCTCGCGGTGGATTGATTTTACTAGCTATTGATCTTACACATTATGTTGCCAAAGCATTTGCAATATTAGATACTGGGTACTTAGATTAAATGATTGTGCTTCTTCATTCTTGTGCGATGAACATCAAATTATTGGTGTAAAATTTGTAAATCGTGTTGTTGTAAATATTTATTTTAACAATGAACAGAAACACGTTTTTGATGAAATTCGAAAGAACAGTGTATAGGATTTTAAATGCAGACAGAGAAGGGGATTAAAGCTGAATTAGTTAAGTATTAACTTAACTAATTGATTATTAAATCAATTTATATTGATGAACAAAGTACAATATAATATTTTCTTATTCTTAGTTTTTAGAAACTATTATCATGCAAAGGAAAATGTCTAATTTTTGAATCTTGAGTTATAT